TCCTGTGTGACCTACTGTAGGTGATCCTGCTCTGGCAGGGGGGCTGGACTAGATGAGCTTTCGAGGTCCCTTCCAAACCCTGACATTCTGTGATTCTGTGAAGAGCAAATCCCCTTGCAGGTTATGAGATCAGTTTGCTTAGAGCAAGAAGGCAGGTGTAGGTATCAGATAAATGTAGTAAGGGAAAACCATCCTGTGGTTAGGCTGTATAGATCTCTGCTCTTAACTTTGTGTTTTTCTACTATTAGGTGTGATACATGAGTGGGGGGAAGTTTAGTCTCTAGAGGGACCTCCCTCACCACTTTACAGAGCACTTTCGAACCACACAGCTTCACTCAGTGCTTTGTGTCTAAATGAAACCAAATATAGCACGGGTGGACAGCTCTGGGAAGGATTCTGGGAGATGGCAACAGCTAAACAAGAGACCCAGGTTTCTGGAGGGATACAATATTGAATTGTTTTTTAATTCATTTCTGTTTAATTTTTTTTCTTATTTTGTTGGTTTTTATCATGTTTTTCTTTGGGTTTTTCTCTGTTTTACAGTTCTTTTGGGCTCTTCTTTTGAGGCTGTGTTTGATGCGTTGGCTTCCCATCCGCTGCTCGTAACCATCTCTGCTATGAGTTGTGAGTGAGCCATCACCATGCTTCTGGGTTTTCATTTTGTTTTGTGCTTTTGTTAATATGGAAGTCCAAATTACACCTGGTTTTCTTTTTTTCCCTCATGATATGTTTGTTTTTCACCAGGATCCTGACAGCTACCTAAATGTGATGCAGAGGCCTAGAGCACTTGGGATTCTACCTGTGGGGCTGGCAGATATTTGGGTGGTGCCAGAGACTGATTTTGTCACTTCTGTGGTTTCAGAGGCAAGGGGAGGGGAGTCCTCTCATCTTACCTTTTTGACTCCAGCTTCATCTATTCATTTCTGACTCCCCATTGGGATAAAATATGCTGCTGTTGTTAATGATTCTGCAAAGAGCTACTGTTTAAATTAGCAAGCCCAAGCACGTGTAAGAGGCGCAGAACGTGTCTCCGCAGAAGAGGTCGAGATGCATATCTCTGCGTCTCCCCCATGAGCCTAACTGATGGAAGCAGGAGATTCCTAGAAGTCACAGAGATATTTCCTTTTAGTTTGGTTCAAGCTTCCTTTCACTTTTCGTTCTTATCGCAACTTTTCCAACAAGTCATTTCAATCGAAGATATATCTCCAAGTGCTTCCCATGATCTATGGCATTTCCTTTCTCCCCTTGCCACCTTCTTTTCAATCTGCGCTAACTTTCTTTTCATTTTCTTGCTGCTGGAAATCCTTTTCCTGTGTCCAGGAGAGGTGGGTTTAATGATCCTAGATGACAGCAGGCCTCCCTAGGGCAAAGGTGAATCTCATGAGGTGTTTGTACAGGCTTCCAGAGAGTTGAGGAGGAACCAGCGGTCATGTTCCATGAGAGTACCACAGGCACAAGGAATGGCAGGAGGAAAGCACTGACATCCAAATACAAATGTTTTAGGAAGGTAGCTGGAAACCAGGACATTCAAAATGTCAATCTAGGGACCAGTGAAGCAAGAGGAAAAATTTTAATCTGAACATATGAATGTGGTGTAAGGAGCTGGGATTCAGATTAATTAGGAAATATGAGCACTCCTGAAATAGAGGGAGCATGTCCAGGAATGACAGACTTCATGTGAATCATAAGGAAGACACCGTTGGCACTTAAAATACAAATGATCGTGGATGTTTGAACTGGAGAATGATGAGAAGCTGATGCGTGCAAAAGAGCATAGTTCGGAACAATGCATCCACTTCATGCAGAATTTTGGTATCTAGTTCTGTCTTTCTGTGTGAGGTAGTGTACATTGCTAATGTATTTAGAGGAACACAGAGCGTAATTTTGCTCTGTGGCAGTGATCTAACACATTCTCCAAAGCTGAAGTTCATTTTAAGCCAAATTTCTTACACAATGCAATATACTTCATATCTCTGTCATCTCCCTGACAGCTTTGTGTAATAAATTACTTTAGCTTTGTGCTAGACACAGTCTGAATGCAGCAAGAAATGTGCTTTACCCTGAGTAACATTTTTGATGCTAATACTGATACGAAAAAAAAATAAATCATGTATGGTTCAAAATTGTATTTCAGCTTGCTAGGTTATTACATTCTTATCATATTTGTGATTCAAATCAGTTGGGTTATATATGATTCCATAGTCTGAAGTTCCTGACTGTTGCAATTTCAGTTCTGTGTCAAATGTGCACCAGTCTAGACAGCAAGGATGCTTTATCCAGGCTCTTTTCCACTGCTGGGTAACGCAGTGGTGGGATGAAATTTATTAACTGAAAGACATGAAGCATGTAGAGAAATCATCTGGAAAATTAATGTTGATGAATTCAGAAGAAAAGTCAATAACAGTTGGGTATACAGCATGTGCTACAATAAACGCTCAGGCAAGGAGCTGTTTGGATGAAAAATAAGGTATCTCCACAGCCATGGAAATATTTGATTGCAGTGATTAGTGGCACAGTCAAAAGGCATGACTAATTGCCTCGTGACTGGCAGGGCAGTCAAATAGGGTTAAAAGAGGTGAAAGCTCTAAGAGAAAAAGATACTGTTAATGCAGTTAGCATCTGCCCATTTTGTTCAAAGCTCTAAATGTCCCGTCAAAACAACTGCAAAGTCTTGCTCAGCTGCAGTCCTCTCTCTTCGCTGGGGTACCGCGTGAGAGAGGACTGGAGAGGGAGCCCTTTGGGTTCAGCTGCAGGAGTGCCTTGGTGAAGTGTCCCACGTTGGCTGTGGGACAGGTACACAGGTAAAAGATGGCTGAGCTTTTGGCTTGCCTCTGAAAGAGGAGAGGAATACATTTACAAACTGCCTAGAGTTGGTTTCAGAACAGATCTAATTAAAGACTGCAGAGATAGCCTGTCTGCCAGAAATAGTAAGTATTGATCTAAAAAGATTTCCAGAGACATTGCCAACCGTACTGAAGCCGACACATGTGGTACTTGGTTCAGTAGATACACAGCTGATAACTGGAGACATCAAAGTAGGGAAGCAACATGAAAGATGTCCCATGGACTTACAAACATTGAACAGTGTTTGTTCTGAAAACATTACGGGTTGCACACTAGCATTGTTCACAATATGCTCTTATTTTATGTCTCATGAAAAGTATCCAAACACCCTGTCTTCTACTCATAATGGACAAGACGAATGCCCTCTTGCTTTTGAATATGTAGAGGACATTTATGGCGATGGCCAATTCCAACAGATGTATTCCAGTGGCCAGCATTCTGATTTTCAGGAACTCACATCAGTGAATTCACTGGAATTCTAAAAAATATTTTGCAGTCATTTGTCAGTGGAAATCCTACATGTATGCTCCAGGGGGAATGAGGTACATCATCATGAATATAATATGGCGACTATTACCTGCTACTAAATTAGGAACTTAGAGCTCGGGCTGGTATACTGCAAGATTAACTGCTGCATTAAGTGCATGGGATATGCATATGGGTTCTCCTTGTGGAATATTTGGTTGACATAAAGGAGATGTAAGATAGACTTGTAGCTTTTTTTTGCTTGGAGTCACTATAACTTAAGAGCTGTGTTATACACCATTGGGGTGTGTGTTAGTGGTGCACTGTTGGTGAATTGTTTAAAAGATGCCAGACGTTTTTATTCTTGCTGAGAGTCTTGAAACTCAGAGCTGTAGCCACAAAGAAGCGACTGAATTGTACGTATTTAAACTGACAGAAGGGCATCCTAGAATAAAAGTCCACAAGTTTTAGGCTTAGTTCTGAAAGCATAGGCACAGCTGAAAGAGCAAATACGAATCAACTGACCTAAGTGAGACAAGTTCCCAATTATTAATTATTATTAATTAGTGTGCTCAAATTTCTGCAAGAGTAGGATCTTAATTGTAAGTGTGTTTAGTTCTTGGCCCTGAACCTGGTTTTGTCACATGATTTTTGAAAGCACTTCTGTAAACTCTGGTGCTTTTAGCTAAGCTGAAGGGGTTTGTTGGATGTCATTATTTAAGTGCAGCTTTTTCAGAGCAATAACATCTTCAGTAAGTAGCTCAGTTGGTTGAGCGTGGTGCTGATAACACCAAGGTCGTGAGTTCGATCCCCGTTCAGTCCCCACGTGTTGCCTGATCTAGTTGAGAGGCATCCCTGCCCATGACAGGGAGGTTGGATTAAATGATCTCTAAGGTCCCTTCCAGCCTAGGCCATTCTATGATTCTAAGTGAACTTGTGGGGTCTAATGTTCTTGTGGAAGCAGCAGTGGAAAGAGTTGAAAGTGTTGCTCAGCCCCCAGAACAGAGAAAGCCCTAGCTCAGAGGAAGAGTCACAGGAGCGACTGCCTTCGTCCCAAGGCTGCTATATCAAGACTTTACTTCCTGAGGACACAAGAGAATCGGACAAAGGGAGAAAAAAGATAGATGGTTTAGGATACACTGGGAAGAATCTGGAGAAAAAAGGAGAACAAAAAAAAGCAAGAACTCTGAAAGTCAGAGGTTTTCGATTTGTTTAAGTCTTCCAGGGGATGTTGACAAGCAATGTCAGCAAATGCGTGTGGTCATCTGCCCTGTGCCTGAGGAGGGGATCCCCATTTCGTCCTGACCAGGTTGCCCTCAGGCTTTGCTTAGCTTGTGTTATTCATGACTCAGTTTTGCGCTTGCACTTCTTTACTAGCTTTTCCCTTGACCTGAAGTTTAAAAAGAAAACATGATCTTGGATAATGTTCTTAGCTCTATGCCTAGACTATGGCTATTCTAACCTATCGCTGTTATCACCTTGCCCTGTCTGTTAAATAAGCTTTTTGAGAAATGCAGAATTGAAGAATGTTGTTTGTGTAGCTGGCTGCTAGAGCAGATGAAGGCAGTAAGAACTTTGTATCCCTTGGTGCATAGGAAATAACAGTATAGAACAGCAGTTTTCGGGAGTTAACTGCCCAGGGGATTTAGTAATCTGCTCTGTCTCTGAGATTTTCCGTTGTCTCCCTCCAGCCTCGCAATGTTGCTGGTTTTCGAGGAACAGTCCGCTACGCTTCAGTGAATGCACATAAAAACCGAGTGAGTATTTTTGGGTTATAAGGAATTAACAACAAGGTTATTTCTCCTCAGAAATCTGTTTTCAGGAGCAGAGTAAGAGGTGTGAATTCTGGTTTGTTGCCTACGCAAGTTGTTATATCAGATGTTGTTATATCAGATGATTTCCTTAAGTGGTCAAGACTGTTGACTGTAAAATCAAAATTATGATTCAGTTATTGGATCCTCACTGGTTGGCAGCCTTAATAATTGTAATTAATGCATTATTAGACACTTCTTAAGGGGAAACAACCAATCATACTGAAGTGAAAATGAGATTAAGAGCCAAGCTGCTTGCTGCTGCTTTCTAGCAGAACTTGGCTGTGAATTACGAAGTGCCCGGTTTTTAATATTAACATCATGCTGTCAGATGAAGAGCCGCCTAGTGGAAGATGGGTTTCTTTTTCCCTGAAAAGAGCCGTTATTTACATGGTGTCTGGCATATTTAATTCTAAAGGCTTCCAGAAATCTCATCCAACATTCTTTCAAAACACTCATTTGTCCTGTTGCAGTAATGTTCCTGCATAGACAGCAAACCCTAAGTCCTCTAGTTCTGCTGCTAAATGCTTGCCAGATGGAAACTACCTCCCATATCACCTCCAGGTTTCTGGTCTTATTTGTGATGAGTCTATAGGGTGACCTGTGACATATGAGGAAGTTTTGAGTTAAGGAAAGAAAGGTGGAAAGCATGATGTTGGGAGGGCAGTTGGAATGTCGTCATGAATTTGTTCTGTTTCCTGGGAGATACTGAGAAACCTGAGGTATAATTTTTGGAAGAGCTGAATAGTGGCAGCTGTAGCTGGCATCAGCTGAAGATATCTTTAGACACAAAATATTGACGTATAATGCAAGCTATTCTGAGAAATCATATTCTAGACATTGGATGTTGAGCACCAAAATTTACCTCATGTGCTTGACAGTTTCAGCCTTAATCCCCATATTTTAATTTCCCATTTGCTAAGCCAGGAGGAGAATAGCGTGTCGAAATGTTGCAAGTCAGTAAATTGTTGTGGTGCTTGATGATGATGAGTGTTTTGCAAAAGCCCTTGAGTAAATGCTGTCTTGTGAAAAGAGTTTGAATGATATTTAGCTAAAAAAAAAATGGAAAAAACTACTTTATACACACATTTTTTTTCTTAAACTAGGTTCTTTCACATCCCATTAATAAATATTCCACTCCTGTATACTCAGTGAGAGAGAGTCCTATGGAAAACTTGTGCTTTGTTGTATAGGTAAAAAACTCTTTCCTAATATATTCACAAAAAGGAAAACAAACGAGGTTATTCAGGTGACTGTATTGGTATTACCAACTTAATAAATGCTTGATTTTACATTTCAGTCTTTGATCTGGCTTCTTTAATCATTGAATGAGAAGTATGACTTATCTTCCTTTAAGGTGAAGTAGCTCATCTGGAGAGCACATCTGGACTACTGAGCAGCATGGAACTTTGCTCCTCAGTCTTTGTCTCTCTTTTCTCCAGGAGATGGGTAGACATGATGATCTGTGGTCCCTCTTTTACATGTTGGTGGAGTTTGCAGTTGGTCAGCTTCCATGGCGAAAGATCAAAGATAAGGTAGGCAACGTAGTGTCTGTGCTCAAGGTGGGGTGCTACATTTTTATTATTACAACTCTTGTTGTTCCTCCTGCAGCTCAGTGCAGCATTTTTTTTTATGAAGTAAAGCCAGAGCCTGCTTTTCGTTCATATCTTGCTGCAAGAAGCTAGCCTGCTTCTGTGTGTTCTGACACAGAACATGGAACTTGTCTTATCTGGAGTAGCTAGGCATTTTCTTATACATGCTGTTAATCATATTTGATCAAGCAGCTTTGATTTTGTTTTTGAAAGAAAATAGCAAAGTGAAAAGGCTGAGCTACCCTTCTGACAAATAAACAGAGCCTTTAGAAAGGTGGGAGGATAATGCTGTGCCATGCCAGACAAGCCAAATGGGAATTGCAACTGGAAAGTTGAACAGAAGAAAGCTAACTCTTCCTGTTGTCTCGGAAGTACTTCGTACTAGAGAATAAAATCTCTGGAAAGAAATAGGTCACCTGTGCAGAAGGCTTTGCTGAAGGGACAGCTTCTGAAGAGTGTTTCTGACTCAGAATTCCCCTTTGATCTTTGCCTGCAGTGATCAACCTTGCTTTGCTAGGGACACCAAACAGGAGTGCGTAGAGACAGTGCTAAGAGGAGGCCGTGTTCCAGGAGTGATAAGACTAGATGGTGTTCCAGGAATGATAAGAGTGTATTAATATGAAGCAATAGAAGAGATATTTGCCTCTGAGACATTTTCTTTTTCTTTTCAGGAGCAGGTTGGCATGATAAAAGAAAAGTATGAACACCGAATGCTGCTAAAACACATGCCTTCAGAATTCCACCTTTTTCTGGATCATATTGCAAGTCTAGACTACTTCACCAAGCCAGACTATCAGGTAGGAGCCTTTCTTTGTTACCAGTCCGATGCACTCTGCATTGGCATTTTGATTTTCTAAGATTTCCATGCACGTGTTCATATCTGGCTGAGGAATACCTTTCCTAGGACCAGGAGAGAAAGGTTGGACTGTATAGTTGGTACTTCAACATCTCAAAAGTTTTTTCTTCTCCTTCCACCACCCTGCCCAAAATAATCCTCTACTCCAGACCAGAAAGCTCTTCCCAAGCAACAGAGCACTTTTGGCTTTCATTGAACCACAGAAATGTCAAGATACTCCAAATGTGACAGAATTTTAGCACACCTTGCCAAAGTCCGCAAAGCAAACAGCTATGTGATCAGCTCAACTGTGCACACCAACCCCTTCGTTTTCTTGCAGACTTATATGGCCCTTAGCTATTATTATCTCTTTCTTTAATATTCACCTTAATATATTTTTTTTCTTCCATTCACTGTTTGATATCAGTGTATATGTAATCAGTTATAGTAGCTCAGCACAATATAGCTGAGGCAACTTGATCCCTTTTTTAGCACACTATTTTTCTCTGTACATTAAAGCTAGAGTGAGGAAAACAACATTTTATTGGAAGATGGGTGCAGTCTTATATGAGTGCCTGCCCCTGTTGATAGTGCATCAAATGAGTGGGAAAATTGTAGGAGGGTGTGCTAGCAAACTCTCTCCAACAGAGCTTTTGTATTTTAGCCACATACATGTTGCAGCGTAGCAACCACAACTTTTCTAGAAGGGAAAAAAAAAGGCAAATACTTTCTGGATAGTATATTTGCCACTAAGATGGAGGGCTGTAGGGGGATGTAGATGGACTGAAGACATGCTGAGGGAGCTGGATTTCTTTAGCCTGGGGAAAAGTCAAAGAGGATGTCTGATTGCTGTCTTCCACTGCCTCAGGGACAGTTGTGGGAAGAACAGAGGTATGCTTTTCTCAGAAGCAGCAAGAGAAATTGTGACTAAATGCGGGGGGAGAAAATTAGAATGAAGGTTCTTAAGTATGAAGCAGGTACCTAGAGAAGCTGTGGAATTTCCATCCTTGGGGATTTCCAGAAGTCGACTGGATGCGGAACTTGATCTGACTTTGCAGTTAGCCCTGGTTTGAGCAGATGATTGGATTGGAGACATGCAAAGCTCCTTTTGAACCTACATCCTCCTATATTCTGTTCCAATTTAAAATAATTGTGTCCTAGCAGTACTGAAAAGCTGTCCTTGAAGTGGAAACATATGGAGATGTTTCCAGACAATTTTAGTGCGCTACAAATCACAAACTGTTCTTTCATAGTAGGGGATTTGTGTGAAGCTGTGAAATGCCTCTTTGCCTTCAGTTTCTTGCAGGTGCATTTCTGGGGAGAAGCCTCCAAAAGGGAACTCCCAACAAAAGTCTGGCATGTGCAGCTTGCCACCCAACACTGATTCTTCTAGCTTGACTTGGACGCCTGTTCCATCCAGCAAGTTTTCCAAATATCTCAGACTCAGAGATGTCTTTATATTGATTTATCTGGATTTATTACTGTGAAAGATTAAAAAGTGTATCACGTGTTATCTGAACTTGTCACCAGTACCAGACCCTCAGGGAAATTAAGGAAATTGAGAAGTATGTCTACTTATATATTAAATCATCTTTTATTTTAAAATTGGAATGACAAGGTTAGAAATAAGGAAACATAGCAAAAAATATGTGAATATAATTTGAAGTTGCAGTTGACCATTTGCCTTCTTAGCTCTTTAATGTATTTCAGTTTAGGATGTATGCTAATCACCAGGTGAGGCTTAAGACTGAATGCTGTCCTGTAGCTGGACAGGTTTGGTGTTTCGTGTAGCTGCCCAGCTCTAGTCAACCTCCAGGTTTACCTCTTAGAGAGAGATTATAATGAAAGAGCAGCTGAAGTAGGCTGGAGAAAATGTTTGTCTGGCCCAGTAGCATGTCTCCAACAGTATTGGCTGTAGGAAGAATATACAAGAATGAGCATCCAGTGACATTTCCCCAGAAAACTCTAAAAGCTTGAGGATCAAGGATCTTTGAGGCTCAAGTATCTCCTAAAGCAAAAATGCCTCTGTGTGTAGGGGGCCGGTTAGCTCAGTCAGTTGAGCGTGGCACTAACAATGTCAAGGTCGCGGGTTCGATTCCTGTTCGATTCTCGTTCGATTCCTGTTCGGTCCCCATATGTTGCCTGATCTAGTCGAGAGGTGGTGTCCCTGGCAACAGGGAGGCTGGATTAAAATGATCCCTAAGGTCCCTTCCAGCCTAGGCCATTCTATGATTCTATGATTTCATTGCCCTCAGTTTGTCTTCCATGAACTTGTCCAGTCTCCTCTTGAATTCATGCAATCCTTTAGCATCTACCATGTGGCGGGGAGACACCACAGCTTAAGTGCTTGCTGTGAGAAGAACTAGTTTCTTCTGCTTGTTCTAAACTTAACCACCTGTCAACTTTATTTAATGCCCTTTACATCTCGGACATAACCCTGAATACTACTCTCTATCCCTTCTCCTGCTTCCAAGCCACACAGAATCTTACAGACCTCCATGGTGTTGCTCGTCAGTTACTCTTTTGCTAAGACTGAAAGATTCTAGTCTATTTACTTGGTTTTTTCCCAGAAGGAAACCTTTCCACGCCTTTGATTTGTGTCCTTCTCTGAACCTCGTCCAGCTATAGCTTTGTGAGGTGGGGACTTGCTAGCATTGCATGTTCAGGATGTATGTAGCCCATGAAGTGATAAACTGCAGGTACAACATTCTATTCCATTCCTAAGGCTTTCTTATATTCTGTCCGGTTTATTTAAAGGCAATGCAGTTTTGACTGCTTTCATCTTTGGGTACCAAGTAAAGCTTTGCTCTCTTTTGCAGTAGCAGAAATTTTGGAAAAATCCTTCCTCTCCCACCTCCATCATTTTAAAGTGGGGAATGTTGCATAAGCATTGCATGTGAGCGTCCGATGATAAGATTATTCTGACTGCTCTCTCCTCCCTCTCTGTCTAAATACTAATGTCTTATTTCTCTTAATTTCTCCTGGTGTATGAATTCTGGCTTTGCAGGATGCTGGATATCAAAGCCTTTGGCTTTAGAAAGAGGCCAGAGCCATATATGAGTGTAAGAAGATCCATACTGGGTGAACCCCTTCTTTCTTGCTCCTTTATGAATGGGGACTGACAATAGCAGACTGGCTGCTGCTGCTGTCGTCCTTGCTCCGAGTCATCTGTGCCCTGAAGCTCACAATCTTTTCCTTCCGCTCTGCCACCATCAGCATCTGGGATTGTCCATCTAAGCAGATGTGCCAGTGTGAAGAATGGGAAAGGGAGAGGGGTGAAATACACCTGCAGCCGTCACCACCATTGTGCAGCACACCTTAACTCTTGCATGAAGGAAAAAGCAACTGCATGTCCTGTCTTCGGGCTTGTTGTACCACTCTTGGAGCAAAAAAGTTTTAGGGGTGAAAGGCAATGCAGATACTTCATCTCAGTGACACCATGATTTCCACCCTGCCTCTGCCATCGTTCCTTCTCCCTATTGTTGTTTAAAAAAACCACCCAAAACAAAACAAAAAAAACAACCAAACAAAAAAAAATCCTTGTCCTCTCCTACTACTCAGAGCTGTATTTCTCCAGCCTGGCTTATGGCTTCGCCTGTGTGAATTCTCTCCACTCTGTCTCCTAGTTTTGCAATTCTCCTACTCACACCTTTGCCCTACGATGTGATTGTTGTTTCTTTTTCTTTTTTGCACTTGTTAGACACTGAGATTATCTCTCATTTGCCTCAATTAAGTAATCACACTGCAGTCTTCTGCCCTACCAGCTCTGACTGGGAAGATCATAGTCCCCTCTGAAGCATGAAAATAACATTGCTAACACTTGGGACTACAGCTGATGTGCTGCAGCCTCCAAATAGTTACTTGCCTTGGGGTGAAAAGGGGATTACTCTGTCAATGTGTCTGCACCAGGTTCTCTCTTAGTTAGTGATCTTAGCTAGGCCCAGAGCTGATGAGATGGTGAGCCTGTGCTTCCCACTCCCCGTGGCGATGAAAGTTGCCAGCATCATGCTTGTTCACACCATGTGGTTCTGGATCATAGAACAGGATGTCTCCAGGGATGGGGCCTAGGTCCACAGAAAGTGTCTAGTTCTTAACTATTGACACCTGTGCCCCGTGACCAAGCCATCAGGAAGTGTTTGTCAGTAGTCATCTGCCCGCCTTTGCCATTTCAGATCCTCCTAAGCACACTTCATAGTGCTTGGTGATTTTGTCACGGTTCTGGGCCCTTGAGATCATGTCAAAAGAGAGAGATACCAGGCTGCAGCTGAAGACTTGAAGTGTAACTGGAGACCACTACTCTATGAGGGATAGATGGCACAAGCTTTGCCTAGGTGTAGATTAAAATGATGGTAGGATAAAATAGAGTTGAGCTGTCATGTGATGGATCTTACTTACACGTTGTGTTTTTGCACTTCTTGGGCTCATGGCCTCTGACATCAGGCCTGTCCCTTTAACAGATCATTTTCAATATTGCTTCATGGTTAGGATCCAACTTCTAGCACCTGCACACAGCAGGAGGATGTCGGCATTAGGGAAATGTTTTGGGGGTTTCTGACTCATTCAACAGCAATAAAAACATGCCTTTTCGTGGGGCATAGTGACGGGTGCCCAGTGCCAGTTTGAGCTCTCTTGTGCTGGCCAAATTATTGGAAGTCTCCCATCATAAGCTTAGTGTTTTCTTCCCAGGCATCCCCCTAGGGCTTACAAACACATATCGGAAGCATTCCCTTGTCAAAAGGGGACCCCTGTCACTTCGGAGGTGTGCCTGAGTTCCCCTGCAGCTTCAAATCTTTGGAGTTCCAGCCCTCTGCATCTGTCGAACCTCCTGCCAAGGCTCTTGCTCTTCTCTTTATCTGTGTAACCGAGGGATCTCTTGTCATCTTCCTCCTAGCTCTACCAAGTTAGCTCTTCTTGGGTTCAGGAGAAGGAAACTCAGTATGGGAGGCTTGCAGTGACAGTGGAAACTCTTCTGGTCCCTGTGTCTGCAGGCAGAGGATCCCTAGGCAGGATGTGGTAACTCTTTGCATGACTTATGGGAGCAGTGGTTGTTGTTGGGGAACAATTTCCCACTCCACTTTCCTCCTTGTAAAGCTCTGACCTTTCTTGAGAAGTATAAAGAGTTCAGAGAAAGCTGAGAAAGCTCAATAAGACCATGGAATAGCTTGGGAGTAATGGCAGCTGAGGACACCAGTATCCTTCAGCCTGTGAAAAATGACTCTATAGGGAATACAACAGAGCTCTGTAAAATCCCAAAAGGCCTGCAAAGTCAAATGCAAGCATTACTTTCTGCTATAACTTCTTCCGTAAGAAAAGTGATTTTGACTGAGCAGGTCCTTTACAGCATAAAGGAATGTTAAGAATGAGACAGCTGAAGTTCTACTTTTAGCATGTGGTTTCTTGCTCCAGACTGCTTCAGTATCAAAGGAATGGAAGGTGGCAGAAGCAGTACCAATTTTTAAAGGGCTTCAGAAGATACCAGTCCCAGACACTGTCCTGTGCATCACAAAGAACCAGAAACTGTAATAAAGGCTGGGATTAGTGGACAGATGGGTGAGGGTGATCTAATGAGCAGAAGTCAGTATGGCTTTTATAAGGGCATCTGTCTACAAATGTGTGGAGTTCTTGGAAGAAGTCTTTGTGGATGTGGGGATATTAATTTCTAAAAGACGTTTGACGGTAATCCTTGCCAAAGTAGCAGTCAGAAAGCAAACATAATCCTAAGAATAATAATTAGAGTAGTATTAGAGGGTAAACAGAAAATATCCTTATTCTACCCTGTAAATCTGTGTGAAGCATCCTCTTACATACTGTCTGTAGTTGCATTCAGATATCTTGAAATCAGAGAAGTTATAGGAAAGGGCAACAAGGAGACTGGTGATAGATTCACTTCCAGATTTGAAAAACTAATTAGACTAGGACAGTACACTCTGAAAAGAAAAGAGGACTGACACGTGCATGAAATCTTTAAATCAAAGTCAAAATGGCAAGAAGTGAATGGAGAATGATTGTTTTCTGCTGCTTCTGATATGAAAATGAGGAACTGCCAGGTGAAATTAGCAGATAGCAGGTCTGAATGAGCAAAGAAAATAGTTCATGTCGTTACTGCATGCTTTGCCATAAGATAGGTGTTGTCCAAAAGCTTATGTATTCAAGAGGCAAGTTCATGAGAAAACATGCATGTAAGGTTATTAAATACCAGAAATGCTTTTACTAAAGTGCAAGAAATTCCCTGCCAACACCAGCAGCACAACTCCCATTTCCATCAGAGGTGAAAAAGGCTACCAAGCAGAAACACAATCCTACCATTAAACTGTCACAACAGTAAAATCCCCGTCAAACCGAAGAAGCTGCTAGTGCTGTCATAGCACGTCCAGGCTCTGGAGAGGTGTTAACCTGTTCCTTGGTCTGACTCACAGTCAACTCTCAGAATTCATCAATCGTAATGCCAGGAATGGAACACCTAATTCCAGGATTCTGGGTCACAAAAAGGAGGAAAAAGGTGACTAAACTGAAAGCTGCAAATAGGCGTTTTACTCTAATTTTGTGCAAGGTGGGAGGAAATGTCACACTCTCCTGGCCTTCTGATCATGAAACAGAACTAGAACGTAAATGCAAACAAATAGTGTGTTTGTTCATGGTAATTTTTATTCATAACTTGGTGCTAATTCTATGCCATAAGCTAAATGTGTTTGTCACCGTACTCTCTCTCTGTGTAGACTTCAATCTGAATCCTCTCGGTTCTGCGTTATTTTGCTGAGTAATTTTATTCGAAATGCAGGACCTCCCATACGGCTGTGTTGACCTAGAGCATCCAGTTTCCCTTTGACAGCAGAACATCAGGTTTTCCTGGGTAGCACATGGAGCAGTGTTGCCAGTACTTTCGTTCTCTTCTGAAGAATATCTGTTCTTAGAAAGCAGGAAACATAAACCACATCAGCACGAGCATTTGTGCGTGCCATCTTATAAACAAAATCATAGCATCCCTTTTACAGTTTCATTTTCTTCCACAGCCAAATGTGGCAGGCCATATTATGCATAAGCATATTATAGGGCTCCTGTATTTGAGCCAGACACTGCAATGTCTGCATCCTAGGACTGAGTTTTCCTGTTGTGTTTACATCTTCTGGCAGCCCTTGAACTCTGTATATCAAGTGTACTGTTCTGCATGCATCTAATGTACAAGAAAGCTGAACTGAAGTTAAGGTTTTAGAGTTAGAGTAATGAGCGAACTGCAAGATTTCATCAAATCAGTGTCAAAACATTGCATGCACTTCTTTTGTAGATTTAAAGACATTTCGGTAACCAAGCCAAAACCAGCCTGAGAAGCAACTGATACAATTTTATGACATTCACTGTCGTTTCTTGGTACCTTTCATAGGCAAGATAGAGATTATATGCTGCACTTGGTCCTTGTGCTCATATTTCAGATCTTTTATGAAAGCGCCCCCTCAGCTACTTAACATAAATAGTTTTTGTGAATTTATTCCAGCTAATCATGTCAGTTTTCGAGAACAGCATGAAGGAAAGAGGCATCACTGAAAATGAAGCTTTTGACTGGGAGAAGGCTGGTACAGATATCTTGTTGTCCACTAGCACCTCCACTCCACCACAGCAAAACACCAGGCAAACAGCAGCCATGTTTGGGTGAGTATTGCAGTCACGCCAGACTGTGGACATTCTCAATAACAAGCTCAGTAACACGTTCATTTCTGAAAGGTTTCAAAGCCATTATGATCCTGGGAAGTTGATGCTGCATAACAGTCACCATTTTGTTTGGCTTTCTGTATATTAATATATATCTGAGGTGGTCAAGTCCAGTTTCAGACCTTTGCTGTCCTGGAAACACATTTTCTACTGGGAGTGGGGATTGGCATCACACTGAGGGATGTCTGGAGATCTTTGGCCAGGACTGATGGAGCCCATATGCTTGATGAAGGGCGTGGAACATCTCCCTTGTGAGGAAAGGCTGTAGGAGCTGGGTCTCTTCAGTTTGGAGAAGAGGAGGCTGAGGGGTGACCTCATAAATGTTTATAAATACGTCAAGGGGGAGCGTCAGGAGGATGGAGCCAGGCTCTTCTCAGATATGTCCAAAGACAGGAAAAGGGGCAATGGGTACAAGCTGGAACACAGGAGGTTCCACAAAAATATTAGGAGAAACTTTTTCCCTGTGAGGGTGACAGAGCCCTGGCACAGGCTGCCCACGGAGGTTGTGGAGTCTCCTTCTCTGGAGACATTCAAACCCCGCCTGGACACGTTCCTGTGCGCCATCTGCTGTAGGTGATCCTGCTCTGGCAGGGGTCTGGACTAGATGATCTTTTGAGGTCCCTTCCAACCCCTGACATTCTGTGATTCTGTGATATTCTACGTATTGTATGGAACATGTGACTGGAGCTTCTTGGAGAATGCCTGCCCTGAGGCAGTTGTTGCCTTGCTGTGGGCACATTTGTGATTAATAATGAGCAGAACACAGCAGGGTGCGTGCACTGGTCACTGGCTTGAACCTTTACAGAATGTTACACGTGCTGATGCGCATGAGCTCAGTGCTCAGAGATGGAAATGAGTCAAAACAAAAGTTGATAAGGCTCAGTTCACTGGTCTGTCTTGGTGCTTTTGAGAGGGGGCTGACCTTAAGGAATAACAGTAATCATCAGTATTACAGAAGATAAAAGCTTAATATTATGGAAAATAAAATCTATAAGGCCTATTAAGCCTCATTTACTCATTCAAAGAGGGGAAGTTTCTTCTAAGCTAAATATTGTGGAATGGGGACTTCTGAAGAAGTTTGCAGCCTGTGTATCAAGGGTCCCAAGATGCTTTCACTGATCCATCCCACTGTCTATATGTTAGGTGGAATCCTCCTGTTCTGTTTCAGGTTGTCCTGTCTGGGATAATGCTGGACTGCCTGTTTTTTCAACGTAGTAATACCCTAAAAGCTTCTAAGGGATTTCTGTGGGGTAGTGCGATAGGTCTCCTTTTTAAAGCACTAATAATTTTCATTTTCTTCTTGTCTCTTCCATAGGGTGGTTAATGTCACTCCGGTACCTGGGGACTTGCTTCGTGAGAACACTGAGGATGTCCTACAGGGTGAACACCTGAGTGATCAAGAGAATGCTCCTCCCATCCTGTCAGGCCGGCCAGCAGAAGGTCTTGGTCAGACTCCAAACACGGCTTTCAATGAGGGTGAAGTTTGGGAAGAGACAGATGTGAATCGCAACAAACTCAGGATCAGCATCAGCAAAGTAAAGAACATTTATTTGTCTCCTGTGGCTGTTGGATTTAGGGCAATGGATTCATAGACTGCTAGAAGCCACCCATATCCACTGATGTAACACTCTACATAGTGCAGCTCAAAATTTCACTGTGGGGTTTCCTTGTGGAAGCGGGAAATGACAAACTACTTTTGCAGAGTAAAAGCCATTTGCATTAATTTGGATCTTTATGCAAATAACATTTGGGGGGCCAATAAAGTTAGACTAGATCTTTCGTACAATTGTTACATCGTTATCCAGGGTCTTGATACTCCAAGCAATGGAATTCTAGTCCTTGCATAGCTGATACAGTACCAGAAGTGTCCCAGGTTTGGAAATTGTAAACCAAAATTTTACCGTGTGCTAACCTCTCACGTAAATAAATTCCATCAATCATGTCTTCCTAAGCCATATTTTTGTACATCTTGAATCATCACTTATTTTTCTCTTCCAACTTTTTAACTTTCCTTTCCAAGGGTAACACGGTCTAGAAAAATGTCCTTTCTGCATGCTAGTTGCACGTCATGTCTGAGGTACCCAGCATTGTCATTCACAAACCCTGTCATAACAGCAGCTAGAGGCAGGAGAGGTTTCTACAAGATACACCTCTGTGAAGAGTGAGAGAAACAATCACTTAATAGTCTCATATTTATGCATTCCAAGATCGGATTGGACTTTTTAGCTTGCATAAAGTGTGTCCTTCAGTTGATTTCCCTCATAATCCCTAAGATGTTTCTCAGTCCTTTTTTGTAGATATTACCTAATTTCTTGGAAGCATCCTCTTTAAATAATGATTCCATAGTAAATCTTTAAGTATGAGAATCTACCAGTTAGTTTGTTTATTAAATCAACTTACATATTGTAACTAAGTTACTATTTGTTGTGTTGATCTCAATTCTTATTCATAAATCAGAATGTCACATGGCATGACATCAGATACATCTGTGAGCAGAAACCTTTATCAGACTTAAAATATTATCAGGGCGTACTGGATTCACTTCAGAAAACTGTTTTTAATGTACAATTATGGATTAGCATGTAAAATCTACCACACTTCTAGGTCTGACCAGAACCCACTTCGGTCTCTACTGGCACAAAGTTAGTCCTTCTTTCAGCCCTATAGATAGCTCTACTATTCTTAGTCTCATTAGAAAACTTTATTCGTGGACAAGAAATAATATCATCTAACTTACTTAAAATTTTCCAGTGCAAGTAATTTGGATCAATGTGTTGTCTGTATGGAACATTACCAGCAGCATTTCCCGCTATTGAGAATTATAAACCAAGTTCAAATCACTTCTTCATCTTTCACTGGCAAGCTGTATGCATTCCCAGATCTCATTTGAAGACGCATGAAATAAGAAAAACCTCTAGAGTGGAACAGTTCTGTTTCCACAACATACAAAAAAAAAAGAGTATTACAGAAAACTCCTGGTAACTCCTATGTGTTTTTCTGTTCCTTTGAACCACCAGGTGCCTTGATGCTCTTCAGTCAGACTGACATTGCACAAGGGAGCCCTAAATGTCCTTTCTGCGTGCTAGTTGTATGTCATGTCTTAGATACCCAGCGCTGTCATTCACAAGCCCTGTCATAACAGCAGCTAGAGCCAGGAGAGGTTTCCGCAAGATCCACAGCATGACCAGGTGACTCTCCTGCTGAGGGATATGCTATTTCTTGTCGGTGCACTGGTAAAGGAGCTTAGGGAGTCAGCGTGGCAACAAGCATTTCAGTTCTAACAAGCTCTGTAGCTACCCAGCGGTCTATGAAATAGAGCCCAGGGCATCACGCTCTCCAAAGCTAAAGAAGTCTGTCCTTTCGCTCTGTGAGGGTTGTTATCTTTAGTCTGACTCTTGCCCGTCCGTTCACTCTGCTAGGCTTATTATCTTTAGTCTGACTGTTCTCTGGGAGGGAATCAGTTTTAATTTAGGTCACAGTCACCACATGGAGAAAAAAAAAGAGACTGCAGATATGATACGTAGGGGCACAGCTTCACCTCTGCTTGTAATCTCAAGCATCCCTTGTGTCTTTCAGAACTGCAAGGGCAGCCGCTGTGTAAAACCCCCTTCTGCTATTCACAGCGTCACCTTCCTTCATCTTCCAGTCTTGCAGCATTAGAAGTAACTCTGGCTCTCCCTGTCTTGCTCTTTGTGTTCAGGTGATGAGTAGATCTTGCCATGTTTTTTCTCGCCAGTACCTCTCTAAGGACAACCTTATTTCTCCATTTACACGGTTCAGATGTCTTTCTGTCCCGCTTCTCCAGTTTCTGTGCCTAGGATAGTTTCCTTGTTGTCACTGACCTTTCCGAATCCTCCTTCTGGTTGTCATTCCTCCACTAGATCAAGGTTCTCATTCTGTTTTTTCAGATGCCTCTTCCTTCTCTCCAACACCCTCCCCCGATTCTCTGCTCCTGGATCTTACCAGGTTGCTGGTTACCCTGCAGTTACATCAGCACTTTGCTTCTTTCACAGACACATTTGACCTTTCTATGTCATTAACCTTCTCCTGGCTGGAATGGATTACAGATGATATCATTATCATCTATTCTGCTTTTACTGTGATGCCTGAAAGTTGTCCTCCCCTCTCCCTGGCTGTAAAGGCTTCTTACTTATGGATTCCAAACCCAGGCTGGATGGTTTAGATCTGCTGATTTATGGACACTGGTTGACTTGCCATATATGCAGCCAGGCACAAAGGCGACTGTTTTGATCAGCAGCATTTTGCTGAGAAGCCTGCTGGCATTCAGAACCTCTGGTATTAATAGAGGACAAGTGTCAACAGAGGTACACACAGGGCGTGCCAGGACCTTGCCTCACACAGAGGCAGTGTGCAGCAGCTGAGGTTGCACGGCTGGCAGCATGGCAGCGTTGAATGTAAATCCTAGAGCACTGCCGTAGCCCTTGGACCGCTCTGCCTCTATGTTTTTGCCTAAGCAAGTCTTCTCTTCCAAGGGGAGAAAGCGCAGTGGAAGGCAGAAGGCAGCTGTGTTACAGTCATGTACTTTTTGCTCCTTTGCTGCTAAATTAAAAAAAATAATCAAATTCACCCAGGCTGCATGAAAAGAGAAAATATATACTGGTAGAGAATGAACACTCACAAAGTATCCATGAGCATGTTCGGGTCCCTCATGACTTTGAGTCTGTGGAAAACTCTTACAGATGTTGTGGTTGAGTGTATGCCCTGGAGGACTTTGTTTAGACAAAGATTTTTAAAACAAACACAAAAAAAACCCGAAAAAACCACCCCAAACCCGCAAAACCTCTTTGGGAATTAGAAGATGGCGTAGTCATATCAAGGTCGTCAGAATGTACATTGCAATATAATGCATGGAGCCTGCATAGACAAATATTGACAAAAAAGGGCTCTTTAGACATCTTGGATAAGCAGTTTGGGTTTGTCTATGCAGTAGAATAGTCCTTTGGATCAACTATTCAGGGTAATTGAAATGCAAAGGCCAACTTATAAACGTGTTTAAAACTTTGTTTTAATACTAGATAATTGCCAGATAATTGCCAGGACATACAGGCCCTTGCATTCCTTCAGGTGTTGCTTGCGTAGATTGTGAAAATGCAACTGAAGCTGTATCCTGGAAGAAAGCCTAGAGAGCAGCAGTGAAGGATGGGAAATCAATGTCTTTGGACAGATGTTGAGGTTCTCTGTGTTTATCCCCTACAGACTCAGTGCATGGTGGAAGAGGAGCAGAGAAATGGTGTCTGCCCCAGTTCCCCTGTCCGAGTGCCTCCGGAGTCCCCCACCGCACAAGTGCGCTCCCTCCGATATCGCCGTGTGAACAGCCCCGAGTCAGAACGCCTCTCCACTGCTGATGGCAAAGCAGATCTGCATGAAAGAAGGTTTGCTCACCCTCCGTAGCCTCCTGCTGCTTTTAGCAGTGTCTTGAAGATTGACTATAATTAGATCAGGAGGCCCTGGAAGTTCATTTCTGGGCAGAGGTGTTCATGGGCTTTATGATGTTTATGATGTCTGTTATTAAGGAGAGTTTAGTGGGAATGATTCTCATCCTGTCCCTGGATGAGAACAACTCCACAGATGGAAGGAGGGACATTTGTCAGAGGGAAGGCAAAGCATCAGATCAGAGATGATGTAAACAGTCACAAAGCTTTTGGCTGGCCTGAGGTGGGAGGGAATATATACAGGTATGCGTGTATTCTGGGAGCTAGCTAGCAGATCCTGATCTGGTGGGTTTCATTGTCAAATTATTTTTCATTAATAGTAATAATAGTGTTCATTTTTGAGCATATAGCATTGCACATATTTGCATGTAGAAAGCACACATAACACTCTGATTTTGAAGATAGTAGAAATGCTTTCGCTCAGATCCACAGCAAAGAAATAAATTAAAAAAAAATAAAAATAACGAAAAGAAGCTTTTTCAAGTATTGCGTGCAGGAGAACACATTTTACAAGACATTAGTCCTTGGTGCTGGTAACCCCTTTGACATCCTTTGTTACTCTGTCTTCCTTTTCCCATTGAAAATCAGGACACAGACTGGGGCTGCAGGATGTACTGGTGAAACGGCCCCTTTAAGTGAGGTGGGGGAGAGACAGGCCTTCTTTCCAGAGAAAATCTGTCAGAGGAAGTGTCGTGAAAGGTCAATAGCTGGAAATGAAGGGGGATCAAAAAGAACAAGAGAGGGGACGAGCCCCTAGCACTACCCCAAGTTTGCTAGGTACTGTTTTATTCTGAGTGGCTGGGGAAAGCTGCAGTGCTTCGCTGTAGTGCACAAAAGGTTGTTTGTATTGCTATTAATAATTTAGGAATTGAACGACAAATCTTAGGTCTTGCTACCTCTTCTTTTTCTTGCTCAGAAGAAAGGCTCTTTAAAATAGGAAGGGAAAAAAGCCATTTCTAACAGTCAGCAAGACTAGTCCTGTAAATTCACTGAATGCTTTTAAGTCCTTCCTTTATTTCTCCCACTCTTCCTTGTCTACTCATGCTTAGTGTAGACAATATGTCTTATCCAAAACACAGCCCTTTATCCTACTTTCTTCCCTCAGCTCCTGCTTTTGAGCTCAAGATCTTTTTTCTTCTTCCAAGTAGCCTGCACCAAGCACGGTGCAAATACAATCCCACTCTGCCACTCAGTCTTCTCTCTATTCTATTTTCATGGGACAGTGCGGCTGAAAAGGCTATAGGAGCCCAGCAGCGACACTGTTAAGTCAGACAGCAGATTTAGGAGTGTTTTGAGTTTGGGTTTTATTGGCTTGTGTTTTTTTCCTGTAAACCCGCAGAACTTACCAAAGGAGAAAGAGTATATTGATAGTTCTAGGGGAAACTGATTATCATCTTGCCATCTAAAAGGAAGTGAGATGTTAAATGCTGAATTGGCTGTCATACCGAAGCACTTTAGAGGGAACATCTTTATGCTGTCATAGGCTCTGTAGGGTTAGGGCTGGGCCAGCTCTGAACAAATGACAGATGTTCTCTAATAAGCCCACTCCCTCCCCAAATGGGAAGGGAAAAATGAATAAGGCTGAGAGAGACTTACAGATGAGAAAAGAAAACTAAAACTGCTTCAGTAAACCAATAATTGTAATAGTATGAAAATAGTGGAAATAAAGAAGTATATACAAATATATACAAAACCCAAATGTATGTTGACCCTTTTACTTCTCAGCATCCAGAATGGGATACACAAGATTTAGCAGGGACCTTGGTCACTAGACAAACAAGTATAAGCAAGAGCCTTTCTGCATACCAATCCTTTGTAGTAACTATAGACATCAATCCTTATCACTTCTAGTAGCAGACACTGTCTGCAAAAATATCCTGTTAACTTCAGAAAGTGCAGTCTTTTTGAAGAGACTTAGCTGAAAGGGAAGATCACAAGACAGAATTGATTCTGTTTAGCTCAAACCAGGACATTTATATAAGCCTGTCTTTCTGAAGTGTACCAAGAAGCAAGCGAGGTAGACTATACAAGTTTTCTCTCAGCTCTTACTATCCCTAACTTCAGCCACAAACTTGATCTGTTTTTAATGGCTTTGTGTTCTGTCTTTAGATCTCGAATGGATTTACCTGGCTCTCCATCGCGGCTTGTATGCTCCTCCCAGCCAGCCCAGATGCTGTCGATTGATACTGGCCAGGCTGACCGGCAGGCGAGTGGTAGGATGGATGTGTCTGCTTCCGTGGAACACGAAGCCCTCAGCAACGCTTTCCGCTCAGTGCCACTTGCAGAGGAGGAGGACTTTGATAGCAAGGAGTGGGTTATCATCGATAAGGAGACAGAGCTGAAAGACTTTCACCCAGGTGCTGAGCCAAGCACCTCTGGAACCACGGATGAGGAGCCTGAGGAACTAAGACCTATTGAAGACGGTGAGGAGAGAAGGCGCTTGGGGGCAGATGCTGCAGTCAGGCCGAAGACCCATGATGGGCGAAGTCGGGGTATGCAGCCTGTGACTGAGGAGGACAGTTCCCACAGACATGAAGGACCTTCTCAAACAGTGTCTGACAGTAAACACGAACAGCAAACAGGAAGTCCAGCCCACTCCCCCCTACATTCAGCACCAGCTATCCGACAAAGGAGACGAGAATCTGAACCTACTGGTCCTCAAAGACAGGTAAGATCCCTGGGTCTGTATCTTGTTGCCTAGCATAGCATCATCTTAGGAGACTTCAGCAATGCTGGAGAAGTCTGTGATTCCAAGCTCTTGTGAAACTCTTTCTGACAGTTCTTGCAAATGTTGTGAACACCTTAGAAGTGCTCCTTACAGCTAGGAACGATGTCCTCTGCTAAGGACACACTGTTATCAACGTCTTTCAGCTGTTTTGACACAGGGACAAGAGAAGAGCATAATTGTGGTTGTGGCTGTCTTTAACCAGTTCTCTTAATGCTCTCCCACTGTGTTTTGTTAATAATCGCTTAGGTGTATGCAGGTGTTGCTAGCAAATCTTCTCCACATAGTTTCTCAGCAGTGTACGGCGAGAGAATGCCCTCTAATCTAATCACAGTACTGCACAGGCCTGCAGCAACGCAAATTATAAAATAATTCCCTGACATTAAAATTTATTCTTAATACCTAGTAGAAAGCTCAGAGTAACCAGCACACGTATTCTGTCAACTTTACTTCAGTGTCTGGCCTTGTTGCTACCAGATATTTACTCAGAGAAATGATCCTTACCTACTGTGGTCTCTTTCCAGATAGTTGTAGAGGGTTTTTTTCTTTGGTTTCACTTTTTAATGTGGTCCTCTGAAAATAAAAAGTTTTTAGTGGGAAGTAATTTAGTAGATCCCTGAAAAAAACACAATATATTGTTAGGCTCAAAGTTCCTGTGTCATATCTAGTCTTCATTTCTCAGACATTCAGAAGAAAGCTGTCTCAAAGTATTCACTGCAAGAGACAATAAAATAGTTATCCCGAGTGCTTTTTGTATTTGTATGTTAATGAAGATCTCTCAAACACGTAGAATCCTTTAGTGTAGCCAAGAGCAGGCAAGTCTTGGGACATGTACACTGTGATACCCTCCTGCAGCCCATGTTCATGCAGTCTGCTTGTTCCCTTCTGGAACAGGGTAACTCCGTCCCCCTCGTGAGCTTATTCTCTATGGGAGTATTCACTGGACTGGAGCATGTCAAAACAACATCCTTCTGCCCAGATTCTTCTCTTTTCTGGGTCCTGGAGAGGTACAAGAAAAAAAGGGCTGTTAGTTTTGTCAGCAACATGTGAATGGTACAAGAAATTATACAAAAACAATCAAACCAAATCCTTGCCTGCCAGACAAGGTCCTCCTTGCTAACGGGTATGAGGCTGCAGCATTTACAGGAAGGATAGAAGTCTTGACAGCAGGGACAACTGTGACTGTGCTGCTGAGCACAGAATAGTTGCAGTAAGCGCTTCTTGTGGAGACTGCGTCCAGTTGCAAGGTTCCTAGGTGGAGGTGTTTGCTGTATAAAGCCAATATTTTGAATGTCCCAGATATCTAGAGATTGCCAAGGCAAGATCGGCAGAGTTGGACGAGCCTGTGTCTGAATTTGCTTGTCTGGACACTTATTAGTCTGGTTAGTGCAAGATGGGCAAGATCTGCAAGACACAATGAATATGGCAAGAGCCACCTGGGAAGAACCAGCAGGGACACTTCACTGACATGTTTTGCGTAGTGAAAGAAGGCTGGAGGTGCCTTCCTGGCCATGGCACAAGTGATTTAAAAAGCAGGCAAAAAGGGTGAATTAATAGGTTTGTGGGTGATCACTGCTAGTATATTAGGCAGCCGTAGTTCTCCAGCAGACTGAGGTGTTTTGCTCCTATGTTCTGAAGTACCCTCTGGTTACTCCTGCTTTGTACATGCAGACCAACTTCTTTGGCTGGCCAGGACTGAGTTGTGCTTCCTTTGATGTCTGGATCCTTCATTTGCCTCTATATACACAGCTTTGCAGTGACATTTTTCCATTTGTGGTTACAAAACCGCTGCTAACTCTCAAAGGCAAAATGCCTTGTTGCCTAAAGGAAAGCTGAAGCCTGCTCTCCTTAGGTACGGCAGAGATGGAGGAACAGTTGGTTGGGGTGCTAATAAGTTGACCAAGAACATAACCAATGAAAATACTGTGGGCCTCGCTAGCAATGACAGATGTTTCCTGTAGCTCAGGCTCGGACTTCCTCTGGGTTTGACTGAAAACGTGATTACATACTCTGTGTGTATGAGTAAATCTTCCTTCTCTTTCAGTATGGACTGAGTCTTTAAGATAGGTAAAAACATCACTAAATGCAGAACTACCATGACTAAGGTCATAGGCCTTGTTGTACGGATTTGGGACCTCATTCTAGTCTCCCAAAGCCTGGTGATCATCCATTGGTTTCAGCAAACTATTAACTAAGAGCAAGTGGATAATCCCTGCTTTAACTCTTCCTTCTGTTCCTCCGTTCTGTGGCTCCAACATATAAGCCATTACTTGTTACTGCAAAAAGACAGTGATCTCTGCAGCCATGGTTGAGGTTGGAAGCGACCTCTGGAGATCATCTAGTCCCAGCCTCTGCTCCAAGACGGATCACCTAGGGCAGGTTGCTCAGGACAGTGTCCAACCGAGGATGGAGACTCCACAAGATCCCTGGACAGCCTGTTTCAGTGTTCAATCACCTTTAAAGTAAAAAAAATCCCACAACAGTTTCTTATGTTTAAATTGAATTTTCTGTATTTCAATTTATGCCCATTTCTTCTAGTCCTTTCGCTGGGCACCACTAAGCAGAGTCTGTATCCATCGTCTTTTTCCCATCAGGTATTTGTAAATGTTGATAATAATCTGCCCTGAGTCTTCCTGAGACTAAACAGTCCTAGCTCTCTCATCCTTTCCTCAATTGAGGAGTACTCCAATCCTTTCATCATCTTTGTGACCCCTCACTGGGCTGTCTCCAGTATGTTCATGTCTCTCTTGTACTGGACAGCCCAGAACTGCAAGACAGGACTCCAGCTGTGCCTCACCAATGATGAGTAGAGGGGAAGGATCTCAACCTGCTGGGCACTGCTCCTCCCAATGCAGCCCAGAAGGCTGTTGGTCCTTTTTGCCACAAAAGCCTCTCGTTGGCTTGTGTTCAGCTTAGTGTTCACCAGGGCCTCCAGGTGCTTCTCTGTGAAATTGCTTTCCAGAGAGTTGGCCCCCAAGGTGTACTGTTCCTTCCCAGGTGCAGAACTTTGTGCTTCCCTTTGTTGAACTTCATGAAATTCCTTTTTGCCCATTTTACCAGCCTATCTAGGCACCTCTGAATAATCAGCACAAGCCTCTGGTGTATCAGCCACTCCTCCCAGTTTTGTACCATCTGTGAACCTGCATCCGACATCCCAGTCGTTAATGAAATTGTTAAACAGCAGTGGCCCCAGTATCAAGCCGTGGCTACACCACTAGTGACTGGCCTCCAGCTGGACTTCGTTTCCCCAAGCACAATGCTTTGAGCCCAGCTGCTTGGCCAGTTTTCAGTCCCAACTAATTATCTAGCCTATATGTCATCATTTTGCCTATGAGGATGTTGTGGGAGACGATGTTAGAAACCTTGCTAAAGTCAAGGTAAACAACCTCCCACCCAATCACCTCATCACAGAAAGCTATCGGGTTCATCAGGCTTGATTTCCCCTTCATATATCCCTGCTGCCTGCTCAGTCACCTTCTTCTTCATATATTTGGAAATGGCTCCTTCCCTGCCCTTTCCAGGCTGACCAACCCATAGTTCCCTAGGTTATCCTCATTTAGAGCTCAGAAGTTTGTTCAAGTGTAGGAATCCGTTGGTAGTGCAAGTGTGAGGGATGGTGGTGTCCTCATGAAACTGCGTGAGTGTAAGAGGGAGCACAGCATGAACAGATGCTGCTGTGGGGAAAGTCAAGTGCAGAGGAGGCTCTGAATAGCCTGCGGGAATTTCTGACCCAGATATTCTCACATGTGAGATATCTCCCAGTTTCAACGGACAAGAAGACAGCTGTAGTGGAGCATAAACCTCATGGGAAGCCCTGGTGTAGAGGGAGAACAGGTCTGTCATGAAACTATGTCCTGTTCAAGCCCCCCTGTCTGTGCAGCACTCAGTGCAGCACCAAGCACCTGGCCAGCTGTTTAACAGAGCTCTTAGGGTTTGCAATGTATGCATTTCAAGAATGTGCTAATAAATCTCGGCTTATTTTTGTGCACTAATGTGCAGATAAAGCTTCATGTTTTTAGCTATAAAAATAGCTAAAATTAGTGGGAAAAAATGATTGAACCTGCATTTCTGTTTACATATTGATCCTGATTTAGGATTGCTGTTGTTGGAAATCACTCATAGTGCCACCTAGCAAAATAATTTAAAAATCTGCCAAGTTCTTAAATATGCTGAGTAAATTCACTGGCACTTCACAGGGATGGCAACTTCCTGCTGCCTTCTGTGTTGGAAAGAAGCACAAATATTCATACATTTATGAGTTTTAGCAATTATTTCTGACTGTACATCTGTGCGTGTAGGTATTTCTTGACTCTGAATCTCCCTTGCTGCTAGTGCAACTGGCATTGAACAAAGTGTTTTGAGACTTGCCTGCCTAAAATGTGCCTGTCCCAAGTGAAATAACAGTGGGAGATTGTACTAACTCTTCCTTACCTATTCTTGGATATATTCTGCAAAGTTTGGTGAGCATTTTGCTTGCACTGTGTTTTACAATCCCATCTCCCAGAGCCAACAGTTCATCTTTAGAAAAGGTCTCGATGTGAAGAGGCATCTGGTGTATTTCCTCACCAACTTAGCTCTGTAGTTAGAATCACTCTTTAAGAAATCTCCCGTGGTGCTCTGTTAGCCTCTTTTTTTCCCATAGCCAGCCTTCCACAGCCAGGAGAGGGCCATGAACGAACTTATTTAAAGTTGCCCATGTCTTGACCCTTAGAGGGTAGCAGTTGTAGAACCAATGAGCGCTTCCCAGCCCTACCCCACCATTGGTGCCTTTTCTGAGAGGTCACACAAGGATGCTCAGCCTGTGTTGGTGATACTGTGGATGAAACAGGAGCCAAGCAGAAGCACATTGCGCAGGCTGCCTGGGCCAGCTTCTCCTGGGAGTCCAACTTCACTTATAGCCACTCATTTTCTTCTGTAAAAAACTCGCCAAGACCTTCACAGAGCCAAGAAAACATCTGCTGTTCTGGTGCCAAGCC